TTCTCATGATTGAAAGGCTGATATTTTCGTTGTTGCTGCTGCTGCTGGAGATGGTGATCATGGTTCAAGAAGGGAAACCCAGGCATATTATTGGTCACGAACTGGTTGTTGTTCATTGCTAAGTAACCATTTTGATATTGATTGTCCTGGATCGGGTAAACAGGTGGGCCATTCATAAGGGATGATGGTGCAAAGAAACAATTGTTCATACCTAAGAAAGGTGAGGGCTTACAGACACTAGACCAACCAGTTTCTGGGTACTGTTGAGGAATTGGGTTCTCCTCAATAGTTTAACGATATTTCTGCACGACAACACAGTTGATGTAGAATTATTGTTATTCATATTTGCAGAATCCTAGTTTAATTGTCACAATAAACAATATATAATTGTTTTTGCTTTAACCTGAAGATGACTGGACACATTGTTTAGAGTGAGTCCTTCGATTTTCATATCTTGCAAGCATCTGAGAAGTCCCTTTGGGGTAGCTTCTGTATTTGCATTAAAAAAAAAAGATTAGTAAATAAAAGAAAAATAATAAATAAAATGAATAATTAGAAATTTTAGAATAATTATATTACTTTTAGGCCCACCAAGTATAACGATGGCATCGAGAAATTTCTGTTGAAGATCTCCAGTCCACGACATCCGCGGTTTCTTGAAAGATGTATTTTTTTTCCTTATTGATGCTTTGTTCAAAGTTGTCTTTGCTTACGGCCCTTGAATTATCGTCATCTTGTTCTGAACCATTACTCCTAACCGTCATTTTTCGTTTCTTTGTTGTTTTCTCTTCTATCTTATTGATGTTCTGCTCACTACGATCTTGGTCTACGGTCACTGAATCATCTTTGTCTTGCTTTGAACAGTCATCATGTACCACAACTGGTGGAACTAAACCAGGTTTAGACATCACCCTCTTGTGTATAATGTGATGCCATATGGTGGCAATGATCTCTTTCCTAACCGGTTTCCATAACATAGTGGCATGCACCATGTTGAATTGCGTCCACCACCGATTTGGTTTGATGGTCATTAGACATAACTAAACAAAGTTGAAATAAAGTATTATATTTTCTCAAATTAAGAGAAATTTAGTTTATAATAGGTTGAAAAGTAAAAATTAATGAACGATTTACATACTCACTACAGGAAGAGACATCTTTGAACCAATAATTTCAAGAGCTTGCAGTCCATTAATTCCAGGCATATGATAATCCCATATCACAATATTAATATCATGTTTACAGTTTGTCAGAAACGAGATAGCTTCTTCCGCGTCCGTATAA